AGAGAGACAGAAACAGAAACAGAAAGAGAGACAGAGCTAGAGAGAGAAGCAGCCCAGAAAGGAGGCTGGGGGGTCTGTTAGGAAAGCAATAGAGGCTTTGTTCCAATAATTTCACTCTTAAAATCTATCCCAGGAAAATAATTTCAAAGGTAATAAAAATTTTAAGCTACATATACGTTTGTAGGCTTATTTACAGCAATTGGAAATGAATTAGGAAAAAATAGAATGCTTACCAATATAAGAATGGTTTTAAATCATGTCAAAGAATTAAGTTAATTTAAAATGTTTTTAAAAGATTACTTAATGCCATAACAAATAATGAATACTAAAGGCAGCATTTAGAATTTCATATAAAGTACATATCAGTTAACTAAAATAAAATAGAGCAAAATATACACTTGATTTTAGCCAAAAGGCCAAAAAGCAATAGAGTAAAGTATTAATAGAAGTTCTTTCTTGATCGATAGTATTAGGGGCTGTTGTTATTTTCTTCCTTTTAAATTTTGTTCAATATCTTTTTTAACATTTATATTTACTTTAAATATAAGAACAATTGTAAAGTGTTAAAATTTTTAGCCAAGAGACTTGTTAAAAGAATGTTTCCTGCTGCTAATAATTTTTTAAATTTTATTTTTATTTTACCTTGATTAAGTTTATTGGTACATTTTAGTTATAGAATAGTTACATTCATCATTGGGATCTTGCACCTTTACATGACTTGATTCTTATTTTTCCCCATTCCCCAGCCCTCCCCTCACCCCCTCCACCCTTCCCTGTTTATAAAGACTTTGTTTCCATGTTTTTTCCTTTTACGTATTTTTTATTTTCCCTTTTCCCTACCCCTCCCATTTCCTCTACTCTTTTAGACCTTTTCTTCCTATTATGCAATAGCATTTGCATATTTTGATCCTTATTTGCTCTTTTAGTGTTTTACACCAAAGAAACTATTTGGTGTTTACACCTGTGTGTCTTATTAATTTCAATTAAGAATATTGAATGTGCATCCACTTAGCTATAAATATCTCTAGTTTCTCATTCTTGATGGCTGAGTAGTACTCCATTTTATATATAAAACACACATGCATACACATCTTCTTTATCCAGTCTCCAGTTGATGGCCAATTGGGCTGTTTCCAAGTTTTAGCTATTGCAAACTGTGCCGCTATAAAGATGGGTGTGCACATATCACTGTGCTATGATTCTTTTAATTCTTTTGGGAAGATACCCAGCAGAGGAATACCTGGGTCAAATGGGACTTCTCATCCTAGTTGTCTGTAATATCTCCATATTGATTTCCATAGTGGTTGCACCAGTCTGCACTCCCATCAACAATGGAGAAGGGTTCCTTTCTTCCCACAAGCCGGCTAGCATTCGTTATTGGTTGATTTCTTTCTTTCTTTTTTTTTTTTTTTTTTTTGTACCGGGGATTGAACTCGGGTCCTTGTGCTTGCAAGGCAGGCCACCGAACCGCTGAGCTAAATCCCTGGCCCTTATTGGTTGATTTCTTTCCACTGAGTGGCTGCCCGTCAGACTTCCTTTTATTGCTTTTGGAGAATGTGCGCGTCGGTAAGGAGTGAGTTCACCTCTGTGTATCTGAGAAAGACCTTATTTTGCCTTCATTTTTGTAACATTTTGTATTTTATTTTTTTCCTGAGTGTAGAATTGAAGGCTGCCAGTTTTTTTTTTTTTTTTTAGTTCTTTATATATTCTAGATAGTAGACCTTTGTCTGAGGAACAGTTGGTAAAAATTTTTTCCCACATTGTAGGTTGTCTCTTAGCTCTGCTTGTGATTTCTCTGGCAGTGCAGACACTTATAAAAAAGATGAGATTCCAATTGTTGAATCTTTATGCTAGTTCCCTTGCTACTGAGGATTTGTTAGAGCATATTGTTGGATTTTGCTTCTTTATCCATTCTACCAGTCTATTTCTTTTGGTGAATTAAGGCCATTGACATTGATGTTTATCACTGATATGTACTGACTTATCATTTTTATGTTATTTTCCCGTTGTTGGTTCTTTTTTATTTTTCTCCCTCTCCTTTTAAATTCTTGCCTATTGGATTTGCTCTGTTGGGCCTCAAGGAGTTGTGACCTTCACTGCTTTTTTTCTAGGATATTATTAAAAATTGGAGTGCTGGTTTTATAGTCATGAAGTTTCTCAGATGTTCTTTGTCATTAAAATATATTGTTTCTCCATCAATTTTAAAAAATAGTTTTACAGGATACATCAGCCTAGGTTAGAGGTTGTTTTCTTTTGCTAATATTTTAAGTGGTTACATTTAATGTCCAAATTTCACTTTGTCATTCCTAGGCCATCCAGAAATTTATCCTTTGGTATTGACTACCAAGACTCAGGAAATATTTAACTGCCGAATAGATGAAGATATCACGGATGAAATACCATATAAGCTTATCAAAAAGGAAGATATTTTTGAGGACTTACGCAACAGAGCTGCAGTATCTGATTTCCACCCAATCAAAAAAATTGTTCAGGTAATACAATGTAGCCCTTTGTCTTCAGCCTTACCTCAAGAAGTTCTTGGTATGTGAAAACAAAAGTTGGAGATGTTATTGAGTTTAAATCTGGCACCACCCTTACTTTGAGCACTCGCTAACCTGTCCACACCTCCCTTTTGGATAATCCTCTGAGAAAAAGCAAAGATCCGGAGGCAACCAGCTGTCTTATGCTGCTCATGGAGGAGCTCATCCTTGCCTAGTTTTAACTATAGTAGAAATACATCTTTATTTTCTTGTACCACTTTAATTGTTCTGTTCAGAATTTGGCCACATTCATCTCCAAACACGCTACAAAACACAACTCCAATGGTTTTCTCTTCCTGTTAGAAACAAAACTTCATGGTAAATTTCCCCAGATCCATCATGTTTTTAAGAGTTTTTTAACCCAATAATTTTGCAATTGTTGGTTATCATCTATAGCTTAGCACTCTAGTTATCTTTTATGATTGGTTGAAAGGAGAAATATCAGTTTTGTATCGGCATCTAAATAAACTAAATGGCTGTTTAAGTTTTCTTTCTCTTTTGATTATATCCCCCCAGCAATATCCCGGAAATGAGCTTCTACTTGTTTATGACAAAGACTTCAAATATGGGTTGAATTTTTATATTATTGGAACTGAAGAGGGCAAGGAAAATTATTTAAATGTAAGTAAATACTAAGCCTGAGATTTATTGGTTGTTGGAAGGATGCTGTTAGCTCTGGGGAAGCCATTCATGGTATCATGATTCCTGTTCAGCTCTGTTTCCCAGGGACCTAGATCAAACTCAGGTACCTAGAATAGGTAAGCAATAAATGTGGGGTGAAATGAATTGAAAATCTCAGGGTACAGACCCCCACTTGTCTGCTCTTCACTGATAAACTGAGAATGGAAACAGTAAATCTGGAGCACCTCTGCTCTCCTAAGAACGCCACCCCTGACACACCCTTTTTCAAGTCATTCCTATTTCTATGTGGAAGTTACTGAAGCTAAAGATACTTTTTGCTATCTAAGAAAAGTTAAAGTTACTTCTCTTTAAAATAGTAGCACCAGTAGTGCTAATTTCCAGGGCAATTGTGAGAATTAAATGGGCTAAGACAAAACCTTTATTCAAGGTGGGCAAGAAAGGCAATAGATTTACGAAATTCATCCCACAGTCCTGCAATGTAACTTAGTCAAATTGAGGGTAATGATTTGGAAGGTTTGGTCAAATTGTTTGAGGGAAGCAGAAGAGTTTGTGTGGTTGATCAGTAAGCCAGAAAAAGAAATGAAAAGCCATTGAATTTTAAAATATCAAACAATTTCTAATAAAAACAAGCTTTCATTTGGTCTTAATATTTTCATTTTTGTCTTTGCTCTTCTCTTTTTTTTAGTGTTTTATTATTATGAAATATAAAGGTGCAGAAAAGTAGAGGGAGGAAAATAACAAATATCTATCATTGCTCAAAATGAATATTCAAAACTTTTTTAAAGGGAAAATTTTTAACTTATTCTGAAGTTGTTATATTATCCTCTTGTCCATGATTTTATGCTTTTACCACAAAGAATGCACTTTGCTTGTATTTAAATTTTACATATAAATTATATCATTTCATATAAAGTATTCTACAACCTTAAAAACATTTATTACTATATGTTAGCAATAAATAATGGATACATTCATCTTGTGGTATATACATATCACATCTTGATCATTTTTATTCAGCAACTTTTGTTTTTCATTTAACTATGAAATTCTAGGGTCTATAAATATTGTATTTAGATATCATATATATGTAGATTGACTTTGTTCATTATAGTTGCTTTGTGAGATTTTATTTTATGATTATACCTATGATTATGACCTAGTTATGTCATTTCCCAAGTGTTATTCATTTGGTGGTCCATTTTTTTCACTATTACAAACAAGGCAACAGTGAATATCTTGGTTTTAAAATTCACTCCTACTATTTAAGGGATATCATCTTTTTTCATGCCTATTTTTCTCATCAAAGAGCCTTTCATTAAATCAGAGAAAATTAATTTTCTATTTTACCATCAAATTTAGGTTTTGTAATCATAAACGTGTACAGTAAATGCTTTTTTCTTATGATATATCACTTCCTTATTTCCTCTCCTATCTTCTACTATCTTCTTTCTATATATTTAATTATAAAGGATATTCATTTTCCATTTTTGCATATTTTACATTCTCATAATTCAAAGGCGTTAACTGATAAGTAAGACATATAAGAAATGATAGTAAACTTACATAAAAGTAAAGTGTATACATACAAAATACATGCATGTGCCTATAAACCCAAATTTGTTCATGAATTTTAGAATGAATGCTATTTATTTCACTCTAGGCCACAGAGGTACCAGAAGAACAAGAAGAACATAAAGAACTTATTCCTGAAGAAACATACACTTACACACCACCTGTCTCTAAACCTTGGGTTTCTTTGGGCAGTGAAAAAGAAATAGAGGAAGAATCGGTTAAAAAATCTACAAAGCAGGTCAGACACTTAAATATGATCACCAGTCGTTACCTCTTTGTATCTGAGCAACATTTATTTTCAGAGGACTGATACCACTTGCCATATGTGGTGTGGGGATGTTTTTTCTTTCTGTGTTCACCAATAATTTTCTTAAGTAGGCATTAAGAGTTGGTCTGGGGGAGGGAAAAGGGATCTCAGAGCCGCGTCCCACATCTCGCCTTCCTTGCTGGAGCTGATGGTGGCCCAGACAGGGAAGGGTGCGGCCACCCGGTCCTGCTGACTGGGCCCAAACAGCCCGGAGGGAGAAGGGATCTCAGATCTGAGTCCCAGATCTCACCTTCCTTGCTGGAGCGGATGGCAGCACAGCAGCTGAAGTTTTTATGTACTTGTTCCCTCAGTGACATGCTTTACTGGTGTCAAAAACATCAGAGTCGTACATGTTTGGTTGTTTATCTGTAAAACGGGATTGAACCTGAGCCTCTGCACCAGCCTACATCCCCACTCCTTTTTTTATTATTTAGAGACAGGGCCACTGATGTTCTAAGTTGCACAAGCTGGCCTTGAAGCCCTGGTCTTCCTTCCTCCACCTCCCGGAGGGCTAGGATTGCAGGCCTGCACCTCACACTCTTCTCATACATGTTCATTTCGTCTACACAGCTGCCGGCGGCTCAGAGAACGGGCTTTGGTGGCATCAGCCTTCGGGGCTGGCAGGCGGCAGTGCCCAGGTGGCCCAAGGCAGCCCAGGCTAGGGGCTCACACCTCTGCCCTTCCTTTTCCCCTGTTCCGGCCTCACCTGACCGGACAGAGCCCACCCAAGGCATGAGAGGACTCTACTTGACTCCATCTGTGGGATCAAAATGTTGGTCTCCTCCAGAGCCACCCAGAACCATGTCTTACCAAGCCTCTAGGCCCCCAGTGTGCGGTGGAGTGGGCACACAAAATTAACCCTTGGACTAATTTAAAGATGAGAGACAGGAGCTTGGGTTCCTTGCTTTGCTGCCAGACAGATGGGAATAGGAAGTGGTCGACCCTAGCAGCCACAGTCCCCAGTGCACAGGCACCCACCTCTTTGTCACCTCCGCTCCAGTGCTCCCTGAACTCTCAGGTCAGAAGGCCTCTCCTTAGAGAGTCTGTCTTGGTGCCCTGCTCACACGGGGCTCAGCTGCATAAGGTGCCTCCTTTATCCCCTCAGGACTGAGTTTTAAATTCTTCTGTTGCACTCACCACCCTGACTTAGACCAGGGTGTTTATGCAGTTCTCCCCCCCGAAAAGGTCTCTGTGCCTTGAGGACAGGAAGGATCTCAGATGCCCCAAGACAAGAGGAAAGGAACCCCACCCTGTGGCCTTGGTCCTTCTGGCCTCAAGAGGGGTCCTCCAGCCTGCATGGTGTGTGGTCACGATGTTTCAGAAGGAGGGGATAGATCCTGTGGTTTCCTGCACCTTTCTCTCTATTCCTACTGTCTGACTCTACTGGTTTGGGTATTGCCACAGTAACCAGCAGTCATAGAAGACGGATTATGACCTGGCTCACCATGAGCCACTGACACTTGAGTGCTGAAGACTCTTGCATATTTCCTGTCTGTGCTGCAGGAGTTGGCAGTGAATTTTCTCCCCAATAGCTCCCATTTTTCCCCCTGTGGAAGCTTCCGGTGTTGACGGAGACTCTCACGTTGGCTCTTCAACCCCATGGCATCCTCATTCCCTAGCAGCGACCCCTCTGACGCAGAGGACTGCAGCTGTGAAAACAAATCCACACTGAAGCCCTCTGGGGACTGTCTCCCCTGTGAAGAGCTCTCATCCTGTGAGGACATCATCCTTCTTGAAGACACGACTCCCACTGTGTGCTCTTCAGGCGACCTCATCTGTCCTATCCAAGGCAGGTGGGGGCCTGAAGGGAAAAAGAGATGGCCGAACCTACAACAGCTACTTCGGGAAGACCCACAGCAGATCCACAAACCAGGTATCTCTGTGGCCTGGGCTGAGGACAATGGCTTTGAAGAATCAACTGCTCATGAAAATCAATGTAGAGGCAAGGAGTGCCCCAAGGACAAAACAAAACGTACCAAAGGAAAACTGAATGGTCCTGTGAAACTGCTGAATACATTTCAGAGTTTTGATTTGAATGATAAAGAAATCCAAAAGGATGACACTAAAAATCACAAAAAACTTCGGAGAAAGAAGAAAGATGAGGACTGCAATTTCCTCGAATTTAACTATGGTCGAGGACCTCAGGCCAAGCAGCTCTCTCTCCGCCCAGCTAACTCAGGAACAAGAGGTGCGTCCAGAATCGCCCATGTGCAAACCATCAGGAAACACAGGTGTCGGCCCATTCCCAGAGCTGCCTGCGACACCAAAGGGACAGGACCATGCTGAAAGGGCAGGTGAGGCGAGCAGCAGCCACAAGTCAGATACCGCAGAGCCCTCCACCTCCTCAGCACACCTGAAGGACGACTCCCCCAGACCACTGAGCACCGCCAGTCTGCTCATGGGGTGGGCCTTTTGCTGGCTGCACCAGAGCTATTTCCATGGGACGCAGGAGATGGGGCCCTGAGCAGGGCAACAGGAGCTGCCCTCAGGGGCTCCACACAGAAGTCGATGCCTCAGAGGCAAAAGGGTCTATCCTGACGGCTCCCCTGGGCAGTTAGGACCCCACATCCCCACATTTTCACCCTACGTGCTACCCCATCATGAAAAATATGAAGATTAGTTCTTAATAAAGCATATGTTTTTGTTAAAAAAAAAAAAAGAGTTGCTCTGTCCCTCCCCCACCCCACAAAAGGTATGTCAAAGCCCTAAACCTAGTACCTCAGAATTTGGAAATACAATCTTTACAGACACAGTTAGTTAAGATGAACTTACATTTGAGATGGCAGGCTCCTAATCCACATTGACCAGTATCCCATAAGAAGAAGGCCATGGTGGAGACAGAGACATCAGATGAAGAAGGAAGCCGAGACTAGAGTGGTATATCTACAGCTCAACGAATGCTAAGGACTGCTGCCCAACACCAGAAGCTGGGGGCAAATTGAAGACAGATTTTTCCCCTCCCCCTTCAGAAGAAACCAATCCTCCAATAACTTAATTTCAGACCATCAGCCTCCACAGCTCTGAGAAATAAATCTGTGGGGTTTTTTTTGGCGGGGAGGAAGGTTGGTACCGGGGATCGAACTCAGGTCCTTGTGCTTTCGAAGCAGGTACTAGAACCACTGAGCTAAATCCCGGGCCCTAAATCTCTGTGTTTTAAGCCAACCAGTGTGTGATTTTGGGTTATGACATCCCTGAGCAATGACTGTAATGGTATTGCTTCCCAGAGCAACTCTGGAGAAGGGGATTTGTGTGTGGATGACTTTTACTATGACAGTGTCGCATAACATGAAGGGGGGAGTAAGACAGAGACGTGGAAGAAGCCATACAGGAAGCAATCACAGGCAAAAGCCTTACAGAGTGAGAGCTTCTGCCTCAACATGCAGAGGAACACTGGAGTGTAAAATAGATTTCAAATTTGGCCCAAAAAGCAGCCGAGAAGATGGGCTCCCATATGGTTCCTTTCAGTCCACCATTGCTATGATGAAAACTATAGTCACTTCCTGTTCTTTGTACCTGCAGGCAAAGTGGTCTTACTAGAGGATCCATCAAAGAGGATCAGGTGCAGCACATGGAGCTGAAGGGGAACACAGAGTGTACAGAGGGGTGGGAGAGGATCTGGCGGAGTACCAGCACTGTCCACCACACATCTGCTTTTCTCCATGGACTTTGCTGTGTCACTTTTGTTGTCTATGTGTGTTGCAGGTTACATACATGATTTCTCGAAAACGAAGTGATTTTGGTGCACCGATTTCATTCAGTGACCAAAATGCTTCCAGTGTAAAAGATGCCTACGTCGAATGTACAGCGTACCCAGATAAAAATTTCACCCTTAAACAGCTTGAGAGGAACGTTGGTATGCAAGCCATCCCCCAAGTCAAGGACACAAGTACTCAGACAAAATGGTGGGTATAGAATGGGTTTATATATTTTGAGAATTACCGTAAAATCTAGCAAATTTCCTGATAATTTTTTTTGTACCTGGAATCGAACTCGGGTCCTTGTGCTTGTGAGGCAGGCAGTGGAACCACTGAGCTGAATCCCTGGCCCTCCCAATAGTTGTTTAAGGTGTGGATTTCCACAAAATAATTCAATTCAGGAGCCCCTAACTATGCTGGATAATACCATCAAAAATCTTAAGAAAATTAAATATAATTATATGAAGACTATGAAGAAGAAAAACAAATGATAATAATTATAGTGCTAGTCATCTCTGCTTTGGAATAGTTCTACTCTCTCCTAACTGTTCTGTTCTACCACCTACGTAATGATTCTGACAGTTCAAATCAGATGGTCTTGGGCCAGGGATTTAGCTCAGTAGTTCCACCTCCTGCCTCGCAAGCACAAGGCCCCGAGTTCGATCCCCTGTACCAAAAAAAAAAAAAAAAAAATCAGTTGGTCTTCATCGGCTAGGTTTCTTATTGGGCTCGCTGTTACTTACAGAAATACACCCATCCAGAGCCCTTGGGTGGCATCTAAGGTAGCTTCTTTCCTCCATGATGAGGTAGACAGAGAAGTGGCAAGCAGTTGGAAACTTTAAAGTTCTAAAGCAGAGGAGAGACAAGACTGTAAGATTGTTAAGGTAATCCAGACAGCAGTGGTTGGAGGGCCAGAAAGAGGGAGCCTGGAGGTGAAGAGACAGACCATGTAGAAGCCTGTTCTAATGTGACCAAGGTGAACTCAGCAGGAAAACAGAGAAAAGAGTGGAAAGGAGATATGTGCACTACAAAATTCTGTGCACCCCGTCATTAAGACAAACAAATGATAGCATGGCTCCTCCACCGATTACCTAACATCTCTGCTTTTCTTTGCAACAAATCTCCTCATGACAGCTGTCCACACTCCATAGTTTCACTCTCTCTCCCACCGTTTTGTCCTGAGCCCAATCTAGGCAGTCTTACCAGGGTCTCTGATCGCCCAATCCCGTGATCCATTTTCAGACCTCCACTTAACGTCACTTTGCAGTGGTGTTTAACAGGACTCACAATTTTCCTTTCTTGAGACACCTTTTTTCCATTTGACTTAGGGACAACTCTGATCATTCTACTCCTAACTCCCTGGCAGCTCCTTCTTAATCTTTTACTAGACCTTCTTCTTCCAAGTTTCAAAATATTGAAGGATCCCCACAGCTATCTCCTTTCAATCTTTTCTCTAATGGATTTAATCCTGGGGTGACTTTCTTCAGTCCTGTGGTACTGCCTATCATTTGTTTGCTGATGACACCCAAGTCTGTATTTAACTTCCATCTCTCCCCTAGATTCTTCATTTGTTTATTCATCTCTTTGAATGTTGACAAGTGTCTCATATTTCAATGTCCAACACAAACTTTTGATATTCTGCTGCAACCCTGAAACTTCCCGAATCTTCCTTATCTCAACAACTAGCAGTGATATTTTCCTAATTTACTGGGCAAAAAGACCGTGGATTCCATTGATTGTGTCTTCGAAATACTTCCACTGCTGTCACGCTTGACCAAGCCACTGTCATCTCTTGCTTCAGTTGTTATAATTTTTCTTCACTGTCCTATGCTGTCGCTCCTTCTCCTGCATTCTGTTCTCTGTAAAAGAGCCACAGAAATCTTGTTAAAATATGTCCGATCACGTCACGGATCAAAGTCCTCAGTGGTTCCTCATCCTGAAGGAACCTACAAGGCTTCATATGATCTGGATTCCCTTTATCTCTCTCCCCTCGTTTCTCACATTTCCTCTTATGCATCCAACCCAGCCACACTGGCTTCCTTGTTCCTTGAGTTTTTCAGACATGTTCATGCATGGAATGTTTCATGTGCCGTTCCTTTACCCAGAATGTTCTTTCCTTAGATATCTTTATGGCTCTTTCCTTCCTTCACTGAGTGAAAGAGCAAACCTCTGCTCACATGAGGCATTCCCTGACACATCTGTACAAAAGCAACAACTGCTATTACTATACCCTCATCTATCCCCTTAGTCTGTCTTCATCATGGTTCTTTCATTGCATAATACTGTATTTTCACTATCTTTCTTCACCCCACTATCTTTACAATTTAAGCTCCATGGGACAGGAATTTTGTCTTTTTATAATTGCTAGAACTCTAATTCCTGGCATGTTTCCTGGCAAGTAGTTATTAAATAGAGGGGGTCAGGGAGAAAGGGAGCAAGGGAAGGGATGAAGTGAAGGAAACATACATGGCATAATGTACATTTAAGTTCAGAGCCATGACATACACAGGGAAAACCTCAAAAGAATCAAGATACAGAAACATAGGCTGCAATACGGGGTGGGGAACACCTTTCAGACCTGTGTAAACCAACTCACAAGCCATGAACTTGCAATGTTAAAGTCAGGGCACATGTACATGGACAGCAAAGGTTGGGCCAAAAATGGATCC